AAAAATTTGAACAAAAAATATTATTCTTCGGAACTTTTCAGAATTGCTTTATAATGCTTTATCTCGTTTATTTATTACTTAAATCTACAGGGTAGAGAGGGCCGGTGTATACGTACCCTGCAACGTATCGGTAATCAGAATTTTACAATTTCACTCGATTTGTTATCATGAAATAATTATCAAATCAGACTGGACCGTGCACTTGCATGTACAAAGTATTTATACATGTACCTATAGTTTTCATAAAATAGTGTGCATATTATTTTTTTTTTGGTCGTTGTGTTGTATATTGATTACAAAATCATGTTCTATATTGAGGGACTCCGATCCTCAGCCAGGAAGGACAACTCTTTAATTTATAATTTAATATAAAAAGTCTTTAAATGAAAATTAAATCATTTATGCAACAATTTTCATTATATGCCTCTCAATGTGCTTCAAGGTTCTTTGAACTTCTCAGAAAGGTCTAATTAAAAGTAGAAATTTTTATCCTGAAAAAGCATTTTTAGATACCAATGTTTATTAACATGATATGAAATTAGAAGTGATTTATGGATCTTTGCAAAGAACCTTGAAGCACATTGAGAGGCATATAATGAAAATTGTTGCATGAAAATATTTCATTTTCAAGCTTCATTTAAAGACTTTTTGCATTGAATTATAAATTAAAGAGTTGTCCTTCCTGGCTGAGGGTCGGAGTCCCTTAAAATATTATCGTATTCACTTTGCCTTTGGGGACTTTATTAAAGATATGTATGCCGTGTTAAACAGTATTTTTGCACAGCTGAAACCAAACAAAAATTTCTGAAGTATGATAAGCTATCAAAAATGAAGCATTCTCGCAAATTCGACGAAATATTATTCAGTATTAACAAAGTACTGGTCGGGAAAAGAACACGATATTCTCATGCATATTTATAAAGGACTGACGTTTATGTTGGATCTGCGCATGTGCGCGGGAAAAGCATCACGAGAATCATCAGGTCGAGGAAACTATTTTTTGTGACGTCTGTTCAGCCAGGAACCAACAAGACTGACAAATCGACCAATCAGGTCAATGAGTTGCATTTAATGCATTTATGGGTTACTACTCAGTACATAAATGCTACATGTGTTTTCCGAACAGGCTAGTTTTTTTAAATCGCTCTCGGAAAGACGTGGTGCATTTTCCCAAGCATTTACACGCTTAATGCATTATGTACATTATCATCTACTACTACTACTACTACTGATAAAAATAAGAGTTTTCCCCACTCTATTGTACAGGTCCGTTTGTTTAGTTTCCCCGTGCTGTACTGACAGCGAAAAGACAATTTCATGTGACTATATATTCCTCGGAACAAAAACAACTACCTCTGAGGTGTGCTCACGTATTGACAATGTTTACAATGTGTACAATTTCGAAACATACATGTACAGTATGCTACTCAATACACATTCTACAATCAATGCACAGGAGAATTGATATAGAGGTAATTTTCAATTAAACCGTGAACTTAGTAACTATTGTTCCTATTTTTCTAAAACAGGTTTAAAAAAAAATATAAATTGGCTTTCCAGCCGTCATTTGAAATCGCATCGTACATCTCCCTAACCCACGTGTTTGTAGTAAAATCGTGGTAGACCATCATGCTTTTCGGCTCATTCACGAGATTGGACCATTGTTTGCTGTGAGCATGCGAGACCACGTGTTCATGAATATTTCAATAAGAGGCAGTTTAATATCCGACTCGGAGAGAAAATAATTTTTACAAAATAATATTTCATAACTTTTAAAAGTGATGGAGTGGAATTGTCTTAATCGCAGAAATTACGTAACATGTAACTTGACGAGACACCGCATATATTTATTTCTTTAGCAATAAAACACTAATACGGCATATATATCTTTAAGAAAATTCAACATTTGTCCCCGGAACTTTTTGACAAAACCAGTATGCAATCTGGTTGATTATAGTTTTTTTTTCAATGATTTTGAAAGTAAATATTAAAGATCTATTGATTACAGTACTTTCATCACTACATTATTGCTGAATACCCAGTGGAGGACAAGGCACGATTCTAAGGAAAAAAGCTTCACCGTATTTTAATCTTCTACATGTACGTATCCATTATACAAACTTAACTCTCTTAAAACAATAAGCGACTAATATAACCGTACTCTATAGACATAGAAATATCAAAAAAGTTTAAAAGCTTCATGTAAAATCGAATGTTACACTTTCAATCTTTACTAAAGAATCGATCAGAAACAGAGCTTCTTGCGCTGATTACACTGATTTAGAATAATTGCGAGGAGAAACGCGGCGTATAAATGAGTAATTCCTTAATGGCAGCCTGATTATTGTGAGTAAACTTTAAAGCAAGTAAATGTCATTATTATACCTCATTATAAATATTCTACACAACACGTTATCTGATTGGTTCTAGATTATCACGTGAGCGGGCCGTAAAACTTCATATTTCCCAGTCGTCGGCACGCTTTTCATCATATTCCACCTCTTCGGAACACCTAGTGTATTTTCCCGCAATGTAGTTCCTGTTCGTTGAACGAAAACTCCCGAGAGAAGTAGAAGTCACAATAGCCTGGTTTACGTCACAAAACTGATGATACTTTACGTAATAAATGAAAATGAATTTGAGAGAGGTGCCGAATTTGAAAGTTTATGTTTATTTCAAAGGTTTTGCTTGTTTCGGTATAATAAACAATTCACTGCATGAATGTTCGGGAAACATGAAAACATACATGCCAACTTTTGAAAATTCCCATGGGGGATTTAGAGCGTGACGACAATTTTCAAAGCTTTAAATTCGCGACATTTTGTCGTGAAATTAAATAATTATGAAATGATTTTTTTTTTATTTATAATATTGATATCACTTATCAATAAAACTCAAGGGTTAATCTAATTAACACAAAAAATGTTTTTCTTTCCAAAATTGAAATATTTTTGCTAAAATAGGTGCCTCTCTCACTAAAGAAGGGGTATTTATATAGTTACATATATAAACAATTTTTTTTCTACCAGGACAGAATTTAGTGAAAAATTGAAAATTGTACAAATTTAAAATCATTTTTTTCAAAGGCTAAAAATAAATGAGGTAAATGATACTGTAAAGTCCTAGCTGTTTCTAGAAACATTTTTTCATTTATATATCAATTAATTAGAAATTCTAATAAGATATTAAATTTACAGAAATTTATACCACCTATCCAAAACAGAATTATTATTTTTTTTTACAGTCATGAAATTTGTCAGGCTCAGATGGTGCCATGTGGGTATTTCCTTCAGTCATGCACATAGATCTACCTAACATATTACTTTTGGGACATACACTTGATTGTTTCATCGTAATTTTTTAATAATATTTTAACTGGTTAACTTTACAATATTTTTCATCATAGGTAGATAAAATAAGCAGTTATGCTTTATTAGATTTCTACTTTCGTTTTTAAAAAACGATCTCTTTGGATTCCGTTTTTATTGTTTGATTTGCATTTTATTGTCTTTAATTTATATTTTTAATAAAATGACAAACAATTTTCTTGTTAATCTATGTGTTTCACCTTGCATACCCTTTAAAACAACAAGATAATACCTGATTGCCCCTAGCTATAAGCTTCTTGCACCAGTGGACAACTGCGTATTTCCAAGCGTGAAGTGATTTCCTGTGGCTAGGCCTAATTAACATCTGGTTAAATAAACAATGAAACTTATCTGTGTGCATTGAATAAACAAGAGAATTGTTATCCCGATTGTCAAAATTCAGCGGTGAAACTTTTAAAATCGAAAAAATTTGGGTGATTTTTTTTTTCATTTCAAAGGCAATTTTGCTTTGATCGGGAATAATAAAAACAATCCCACTGCTAAATCGGGAAAGTTGGCATGTATGTGAAAACTTATTCAGCCAAGAAATATCATATTCCCCTCGGGCGAAGCTTTCGGGGAATATGATTTTTCTTGGCTGAATAAGTCTTCATATTTCCCTCACTATCAAATGCATAATATTGAATTATGTTTTTAAAAAATACTGAATCTAACACATCTTCGCGTTTAATTATTAATAAACTTTTTCAATTGGGGATGCTTATATAATGTCAAATTGTCTGCTATCTCCTGCTTTCAGAACTGTAATTAATGATAATGAACGTTATCAACATTTTTGTTTAAATAAGTTCCTCTTTCTATTTTGACTTTCGTCTTAAAATTTATTTCAGATATATGACGATATACGACATACTTTTCAATACACGTTTAGGCTCGTCGTTCGCTACACGGCAAGAATATACCGATAACTCCCCCTCCCCAAAAAAAACCCCAAAAACAAAACAAAACATTATAATGACGTCGGTCACATTCCTGCCGGTCGGCGATAGACAAAATCGTAACGTCGTGTTTATCTTCATATTTTAAACAGTATCTGTTACAGCTCAATAAAATTTTCAGACAAAAATTTAAAAAGTAAGGAAATTAATATGTAAAATTTTGTTTATAAAATTAGATTTTTAAAAACTTTTTATGATAGTTGTAGCATTGGTTTTGGATTTACCCTCGTATTATTCGTAGGTTCTTCCTAAATTAGGATTTACATTTTGAAGTATAATTTTCTTTATTCATCTCACATACAAGGAACACTAATAAAGTCGAATATAACTGCGGGCATGTGTCGTATAATTTTAAAATTGAAATGCCAATAATCCTAATGAGAATCTATATTATCTTTTTAAGCCACTTACAATTATCTCCGCTCTTCAATAATGAAATCTGTTTTTACTAACGGAATCACACTGAGCCTATTTCATTTACGACAACTTCATGGTATGAAATGGATGTGACTTTTTAGATACAAAATTTTGTTAATAAAAAAACATTAAAGGGATTGCTAAAAACGGGGGTGTAAACATAATACAAAGGGGGTGTAAACATAATATATACTATTTTCAGTTGCACAGTTATTACACGAAAGTTAAACGTAACCATCCTTTTTTTCATTTTTAGATTTTAATTCCGGGTCGAACATGCATTTTCCAAACAACACCTTTTCCGAAATAAATCGCACGGCTGGTCGAATAGAAGCCAATGAAGGTCATTTAGCGGAAATTTTTGGAACGATTTGTACAAAATACGTGGCACCTTCAATTTGTGTTTTCGGAATTATTGGAAATTCTTTTAGCCTGGTAGTTTTGATGCGGAAATCTCTCAAGCAATCCCCGTACATCAATTTGAAGGCTCTGACCATAGTTAATCTATTAGCTTTACTGGTTTCTTTTCCTTATATGATACGAGGGGAAAATTCGACTGAATACGCCTGGCGGTGGTACAACATTTACATTTTCATCCCTTTTGTCAGCTTGCTAACTGCAACAAGCATTTGGATTGTTGTTTTGTTGACTGTTGAGCGCTTTCTGTATGTGAAATATCCACTTCGGGCTAGAGGACAGTGTGGAAGAAGAGGAACTATAATTCGAATATTATCTATATTATTTGTAGCTCTCCTCATGTCGCTTCACAAATTTTTCCAGTATGAATTAGACCCTATCAAAGGGAAATACGTCGAAACTGCATTCAAACAAAGTCTAATGTCATTTATCATAGAAATCGCACTGATGGTAATCATCCATTTTATTCCCTTGATTGTTCTTGCGGTAATCAACATTGTGCTGGTGAGAACTGTGCGCCAGGCCCGGAATCGGAGGTTGATGTTGAACCTGCGCAATAACCAGGAGGGAGGATGGCAGAAGGACGAGAGGCGCTTCACCGTCACACTTGCCAGTATAGTAATTCTGAACATCTGTTTTATTGGACCAACAACAGTCACAGACATATTGCATCTGAGCGTACTTGGCGGACATAGTGAAAATTTAATGACAACGATTGTCTTCATGCGACACATTTCAAATGTATTACTATGGTTTTGCCTCTCTTTTAATTTTGTTTTGTACTGTACCTTTAACAAGAGGTTTTTCAAAGCAATGAAAGAAATATTACAGTTTCACAGATTTCGACGAAATCGTTTCCAATCGGTAAAATCGTCGGAAATGACGTTTCTACGCTCAACAAACTTTGACAGCTGATTCTCTTGAAGAAAGCAATTATCATTATCTTTGACAATTTCAGTATCTTAATCTATTGGAAGTTCTTGAAAATCTTTGATACACACTTACATATCACTTTTGTCATTTTTCATCACGATGTATATATTTTTCAGCACAATCTGTAGGTATTTTTTACAGATTTTTTTTAAACGTCAGCCTTTGAAACTTAAAAAGGGCAGATAAATCAGGAGAGTAAAATGTTATTAGACCCCACTAGTATTGTGTGAAGTGCTGTTTCTTTATTGATTAGATATAGGTAAATTTGTAAACTGTTCAATCAAATTTCTGTTTTGTTCAATTTTTGTTCATTTTTAATTTGAAATAATAAAAAAATGGTTGTTTTCGCCATTTAATTCGCAACAGCTTGAGAGAAACAATTTGTTAGAGTAAAGATTAAAGTTCAATAGCTCTGCAAGACAATCATTTAAAAAATGATTGTTTCCCCTATTCAAATCTTTTTTTTACTCTACAGGAAACATTCAATTCCTTTATTCAGTTATAATAATTTTAACTTGAAGTCATATTTGCAGTTTGTTTTATTTTAAAAACTTTTACCCTCAGTCAGGAGAGGGAAAACATTACCATGAAATTCGCAATTCACAATTTTGAAAGAGGCATTATTGCTTTTCATAATTATAGACTTAGCATGCTTACTCTATTTACTTAATACACAGAAGCAGATCAGAGTAACAAAGAGAAAATGCACTTCCACTTTATAACCAGTTGTGCACCTCATCCCAAAGGAACCACTGACCCTGGGGCCACATATTTCAAAATTTTATCATAAAATGGTCGATTAATACCAAAGAGCAGATTTCAAAGCATTAATTTATTTTCAGACTAAATAACCCCCACCCATCCGCACCCCCGACCCGGGGGGGCATAAAAAATACTTAGTAACCATTTCGCTAGATGCACCTTTCATCATCATAAATATATATACATAAAATTCACAATTTTGAGAGAGACACTCTTGCTCATCATAATTATGTGCTTACATAGTTTATTTAATACCCAGGAGCAGAGAAGATTTTCAAAGAATTAATGCATTTTCACTATGTAACCAAAAGAGCCCCGCCTTAACACCAGAACCTCTGACCCTGGGGTCATAAAATTCACAATTTTGAAAGAGGCACTCTTGCTCATCATAATAATTATTATGTGCTTGGTTAGTTTATTTAATACCCAATAGCAGAGAAGATTTTAAAAGAATTAATGCATTTTCACTATGTAACCAAAAGAGCCCCGCCTTAACACCAGAACCCATGACCCTGGGGCCATAAAATTCGAAATTTTGGAAGAGGCACTCTTGCTCATCATAACTATGTACTTAGTTAGTTTATTTAATACCCAGGAGCAGAGAAGAAGATTTTTTTTAAATTATGCATTTTCACTATATAATCTATATAGCCCCGCCCTAACTTAAGAACCCCTGACCCTGGGGCCATGAATTTCACAATTTTGGTAGAGGACTCAATGCTCATTACATTCATGTCAATAGTTTGCCTGCTTGATGTCCAGGAGTCAAGAAGAAGATTTTTAAAGATTACAATAATTTTAGTGGTTTTGGTCCCACCCCTCAGGCCCCAGGGGGGCGGGAACCATAAAATTCACAATTTTTGTTCACCTTTACCCGTAGATGCTGTATATCAAATTTGGTTGAAATTGGTTCAGTGGTTTCAGAGAAGAAGATGAAAATATTCAAATGTTAATACACGACGCACGACACACGACGACGGACGAAAACGGATAGCAATAGGTCACCTGAGTTACTCAGATGACCTAAAAATTCTAGATTAAAAAAAAAACAACAAAAAACCCTTAGTCTGGGAAAGAATAACTTGCATATTTTTAAAGTTGGCCTTAAAGAAAATTTTAAAGTTCTTTTTTAAATTGTACACTCGGTCTTGTTGTATTACAGTCATGTTAATAATAGCTCTAGATAAACAAAGACTCTTTTTTCCTACACCATAAAAACAACAATACGGCGTAAAGCATCGTATGAATTCGGGTTCATATGATCATAAAATAACGCTGAAATGAGCTCATGATGATAAACTATTATTAAAATGACAGACCTGCAATCTCCTGCTGGGATTCCCATGTTTTTCTGCTTAATCCGTGTATTGATGCGTCTTAATACACTCTATAAGATACATTAATACGAGTATGTCTCTAATTTTTTTTTACAAATCTCATGAAACAAATAAACAATTGCCACACATATATGCTTTTATCATTATATTACTTAAAGTATCATTTTGTCATCCGTAAAAAGATTTAAATAATTAGAAATTAAGCTGGATTTTGATTTTGATAAAAGGATGATGTGACATAACTGCTATCTGCACTCTAAAAAAAGTTTTACTTGTTGTTTTTAAAATAAGATATTAGATAAAGAAAAACTAGTAATTATTAGTAATCCATTTAGTCAGAATAGCAAGTAAATGACTATCATGGTTAGTAATTGTAAACATAATTAGTAATAAGGATGAATTCATTTACTTATAAAATGATTTACTAAGTATCAATAGAATTACTTAAATTATAGGAATTGTATTACTTAAAGTTAGTAAATGAACTACTCATTTTTGTTAAATTATTATTACTTAATTTAGAGATAATATGCTTTCTATTTACTAAATTTATGAATTATTACTAAGTAAATGTAATTCTGAAATTAATTAAAATCTAGAATATTATTACTCAAAAGAATACTAAGTAAATGAAATACTTATCATATTTACTAAAATCGACATTATTTACTAGAAACAATGCAAGGTACCGACCCTCTGACATGTGAGTGCTACTCACAGATTTCTTTATCAGAGTTCCCTAATTGGGCCCTCTGAATAGTTTAATAGAAGAAATCTACTCATGATGGAAACAATTATACTTTCTATTTCTTTTGCCAATTTCTTTGTAATTGTTTTATTATATATAACAACAAAACATTTGATTCCAACTTCGAAAGCCTTAAAAATTGAATAAGTTGTATCTTTTTAAGGACGATTTTAAAAATGGTTAAACATTTCAAGTACTTAATATTGCATTTTTATTAGTGTGACTTTTTTTTCACATGAAGGAATATTTAGAAGAAAGATAACTCCTCCTCACAGACAATAAGTGATTAGACTACCATATTTAAGTAATTACTGATCTGAATTCTCCTAGATTTAGTAAATAAATTTTTGTTTTAAGTAAATCAATTAAATACAATTCAAACAAGATGTGTTTGTGAAACACCTATGCCACTGTATGGCAACATTTCAAAGGTTAAACTTTTCTTATATACAAATTTAAATTATTGGGATTTCTTGATATCTCCAAGGTCAAAAGGTCAAGGTTATTGGTATCTAATGAAAGGTCTTGCCAAAAAAAATACATATGTGAAATATGGAAACACTTGCCTTAACCCTTCAGAAAGGTCTTGCCAAAAAAAATACATATGTGAAATATGGAAACACTTGCCTTAACCCTTCAGAAGTTATGGTCAAGGTTACCATTTTGAAATGTAGGTAAAACGCCAAGGTCAAAGACAAAGGGACAGATTTGGTGGTACCCAAAGAAAGGTCTTGTCACAAGGATGAACTATGTAAAGTATGAATGCACTAACCCTAATCCTTTTAAAGTTACAGTCAAGGTTTGCTTTTTAAAAATGGGTCAAACTCCAAGGTCAAGGTCAAAGGGTCAAAGTTCTTGGTATCCTATGAATGGTCTTCTCAAAATGATTACATATATGTAAGTATGAAAGCACTATTCCTTACCGTTCAAACGTCATGGCCAAGGTTAAAGTTTTTTTCACAAGGATGGAAATCTCCAAGGTCAAGGTCAAAATTTCATAGTTGTTGGTATTCAATGAAAGTTCTTTCAACAAAAAATATATATGTGAAGTATACATGTCCTGGTATTTACTGTTCAAAAGATTTGGATAAAGAATAAGTTTGGATTTTTTGTGTATAAGTGAGTCAAACTTCAAGGTCAAGGTCAAATTTGGTGATACTCAAAGAAAGGTCTTGTCACAAGGAATACACGTGTGAAATATGAAAGTCATAGCTCCGCTAAATCAAAAGTTATGGGCAAGGTTAAAGTTTCTGTGGATAAACAGACAAACAGAGAGACAGCTAGACAGACAGCTAGACAGACAGACGGACACGACAAAAACTATATACGCCCGAAACTTCGTTTACGGGGGCATTAAAATATTAATTATATAGTAAATAGTGGTAAAATGTAAGTAAAGACCAAGTAATGTTATTACTTATATACACAAATTTAAGTAAATATAAATTACTAAGTAAAACTTTTTAGTGTGTAAGTAAAACAATTCTTTAAAATACAAAAATCAAGTAAAACATTTGAATCTAGTAATTGACATATATTTCAGTAATTGATTTAAAATTTTAAGTAAATGCTTAGTAATTATCTATTACTTATCTTTGTTATTTCAAGTAAAAAATGACTACTAAGTAAAACATTTTTAAGAGTGTGGGGCTCCTTTTCCACGACGAATTATATTTAATCTACAATGATGTTTGTAGTTTTCATACAGGAGTGAATAAATACGAGGCCTTTTGAATAGTTTCAGTAGTTCAGACACATTTTAATTATAAGGAATATTGCATTGTCTTTAATTTTTTTAGACCTTATCACAGCTAAATTCGGCCAGGTTTGTGAGAATATGTTCTTTTATGGCAAGAGAATGGGTGGGTCTTAGTACAATAGAGGGATATGCTTGTCCGAGAAGACCTTATATGGCTATCGTTATCATTTCGCACATAGTCATTGTCCAATCCGAAGACAGAACAACAAACATGCTGGTTTACAACGTTTACGTTTTGTCACAGACACGTGGTTTTGGTCAATTTACCTGTTATAGTTTTCTACATTTCAAACTTATATAATGGTCAAACAAGGCTAATAATACGCAAGGATTTTTCAGCATTTGCGGTTTTTAGGACAAGGAATGCACATAAGACTTGTATTCACTGATACTCGGGAATACGTGTAGACCTAGCGAATTGTTCACCAAACACGCTACAAAAGTTTATATATTAATGTTTATTTATCAATTGTTTGTTATTGTATATAATTTTTACTGAAATCTATCTATTTTATACTGAAATATACACGTATATAGACCCGTGTCTAATCTCATTCTGTGACTCAAATGCTTAAAAAAATCGGAAAGCAGTAAAATTCCAAGCATGTTTCCATAGTATTTTTGTGGTACTCACTCGTAACGAATATCAATTAGCTGATTGGTCAGTTAGAAAGTATCGCCAGTGCCTCGATTAGCATATGAATTTATTCTGACGTCAGAAAATCTAGTTCCGTCGATCTGTTTA